AACACACCCATTAATGATCTTTTTTTGCATATGATTTTTAAATGAGGGTGTGTGTATAAGAATAGAATTTGTTCTAAAGGCTCACTAATCATTAGAATTCATTCATGTTCCAGAACAATTTTATGGTAGCCAGCATTTCATAATGTAATACCTGCTTGGGGTGTTGTCAGAGTTCATTTGAGACGGTTTTACTACTTTTCTACTGATTGGTGTTTCATGAGGTTAGCATTGGCTGAATTGCATTAGCTGACCTTCGAGTGAATAAATGAATGTCTTTTGCCAGCCTAAGTTTTATTGTTCTGTGCTACAAATGTTTATGTATCAAAAGCAGGTTTTTTAACAATTTGATTACGCATGTGTACAAATTATTGCGTAATAAGCTGTATATATAAATCTGTTATTTGCTTCTGTTCTGGGCGTTTATAACTTGTGGGGTTTATTGTCCATTCAGGGATCATTGATAAACCTTTCAAGGTCTCCCTCTCTGTGTCAGAGGAGAGTCTATATTTTAAAAGCTGAGGAAATTCTATGCTAAAATTATAGACATGCACTAGGTTTTTCAATGGACTCTAAATTTAGTAAAACATTTAGGAAATAAGATGGTAGTCATATCCTGTGGTTCTACATAGCCAACACCACTAGCTTAAAACAAACTGTGGAAGAGCATATGAAAAGGGAATGAGTGGGAATGGGAGAGCCAGTAGAAGATAACAAGAAGGAAAGATTTTTGGTTTAAAGGTTTTTCTATCTTCTCATCCTTTTCTCAGGTTCAGGTCTAGATCATCAATTCAGAACGAAAAATCCAAATACAAGATTGAGAACATGGCACATGTAGATATGATTGGATGTGTGTAACAAAATGAGTGATTGCAGTGGCTATCAGACTGTAAAGCGCTGGCTGGTGGTGCCCAGAATTAAATATTGTGAGACCCCAGCTGTAACAAACCTGATCCTGGGGGTACGGAGACAGAGTCTGCAGGAACTTGTATGAAGAAAGGCCCAGAGCGGACACAGGGCATGGCTGACCCTATGGCAGTCAGAGTGGGAGCAGTTTCCCCCTTCAGAGGCCTTGGTCCTCACTGACCGAATTGAAGGCTTTTTTAACTGTGGTTTCCAAGGGGTTGGTGGGGACGGGGGAGGTGGTTGTGGTGTTTTCCCAAACTAATGCTAGGTTTCTTTTCCCTTTTAATACAAGGGGTGTGGTGGGGTGTCAAGGCTGTCTCCCCACTTTGAACTTTAGGGTACAAATGTAGGGGCCTGCATGAAAACTTCTAAGCTTAACTACCAGCTTAGCTCTGGTCCGCTGCCACCATCCCAAGAATTCCCATCCCTGGGAAGCCTTGAGAAACCTTTCACCAATTCCCTGGTGAATACAGAT